GGGAACGAGAGGTATTGAGTGTGAATGAGAGGGAATGAGAGGGAAAGAGAGGGATTGAAAGGGAATGAGAGGGAATGAGAGGGAAAGAGAGGGAAAGAGAGGGAATGAAAGGGAATGAGAGGGAATGAGAGGGAAAGAGAGGGAAAGAAAGGGAATGAAAGGGAATGAGAGGGAATGAGAGGGAATGAGATGGAATGAGAGGGAATGATTTTGTATTAACTGTGCATTCAAGACTACAACCAAAACACCCAGTGAATGTGATGGTTAAAGCTGGTAAGTAAATCCATGAGTCACATACTGAGTCATGTACTGACATAAGCTAAGGTGACTGAAAAAAGAAAAAAGTTTTAAAAGCAACACACAAAAAATGACAGTTTACTGTTTTCATATGCAGTCTGGGGGAAAAATTTGTTTTTGAATAAATATCTTGTTGTCTGAAGAAACTGAAATTGAAGTGTTTTAATATGATGACCATCATTACACTGGAGGAAAAAGGGGAGACACACAAGCATGAAATCCGAATTGTGAAGTAAAAGCATTATGATGTGAGGTTAATTTGTTGCAGGTGGGCTAATGCACCTCAAACAAAAAATAACATTCAACTGAAATCTTGAAGTGGCATCTAAAGAAATCAGATAGGAAGTTAAAGCGTGGGCACAAATTGGTCTTTTGAATAAATAAGTAACCTATACATACAGCGAAATCAGTTACAAAGTGGCTTAAGGAAAACAAGGTCAGCGTTTTAGAGAGGCCATCATAAAAACCCTCAGGGCAGAGCTGGAAAGGTGAAACCTGTGAAAGAATATCCAAAATGTTCGACCAAACTCATCTTGTTTAAAAAGACAGTTTTAGAAAACAGCAAAGAATTACAGGAAACATTCTGAAATTTAAGAAAGTAAAAAAAAATTCTCAATATTTGTAGTCCCATCCAAACTGAAACTGAGAAAAACATGTATGTGATTGTATTTAAAACAGTTAAAAATCTCTTATGAGACTGTATGTAAATATCTCGTTTACACTGTCAGTAAACTTTCTTGATTATTATTATTTTTTACAAAAAACAAATGTAATGTCTTGCCCACAGTAGACAGCTTTGCTCTGCCACAGAAAGTTTTCCTGGTTTCTAAGATAACAGCAATGTTGCCAAAAAATTATGTCTGAACTTCAGAAAGCAAAAACAACTTTAACGGATGAGTTAGTGAAATTAGGAAAAAATGACATTTCGGTAACCTTCACAAATACAACTAACTAATTTATGCAGAGTCCGGGGATACAGGCAGCTTGTGTATTTAGTATTCTTCTACTAAAGTTAGCCCTTCAATTATTTTTCTCTCCATTTGTCAAAGAAAACCGGAGGGGGCGTTTCACATAGATGAATTATTCATGTGGATTAATTGTCTGATTTTTACTCCTGGAAAGAAAGAAAGAAAACAGACCACTTCATAGAAATCTCATTTTAACTCAATGCCTGTCTTCCACACAACCCTTTTAACACTGTAACCATTTCTGCTTATTATTTCTATGTGGCCCTTCGTCTCTCCAACTCTTATCTTTCTCCTAATCTTTCTTGCTCACTCAACCATTAGACGAGAGGATGACTTGTGGTGCTCTGTAAATTTCATCTCTGTCAAGCCAATCACTTCTGGCTATGGCTCAAGGGGGAACATCTGCTGGTGGGAGGGACTCTAGTCTTCGTACGATGGCTGCTTCTCAGTCAGCAAAAGCAGAGCAACTGTCGGTGAAAGACGAAGGCAACCGTTTGTGATAGCAATATTAACAATCACTCCAAAACCATAAGAGGAGCCGACTGTAGACACTGAATGTCGGCTTGAAGTCTGAGCAAATTCATTGATATTTCAAGCAAGCTGCTTCCTCTTGCACCCTGTTGGGCCGCCTGAGGGAGGTCCTTGCTTAATGTAACAGAATGGACAAATAACCTTACAGATCTTTGCTTAGTGCATTAGTGTAAAGGTTGCGCTGTCTTTCCACCCACGTCTCAGGGAGATGTGCTTAACTCCAAATAGCCAATTTGGTAATGTTAACAACATGCTGCACTCCACCCTCAGGATATCGCTACGAGCTCAAGGGCAGCAAAGTGCTCCTGTTTCAGGAGGAGGGGCTGTTACAGGGCATTAACACAGGGCCCACACAGACATTGTTAGTGGGCACTTAACCATCTGTACACAACTCTCCACTGGAACGCGTCTGAATATTTCTCACAAAGCCACGCCTCATATCCATATTGACCTCCACGAACGCTGGCGTCCTTTTCCAGGTCATCCAAGCATACAGGCAGCATTCATAAAACCCTTCCTCGCTTTAAACCATGACCCCCATGACAGAAGAGCTGCTGCGGAGTATTCTGAAAACCTGACTGTGGAATATCAAAACCTCCCATCTGTCCACTTCTCTCCTCACTCTCTGCGTTTTCCCCGTTCTCATGTCACAGGAAGGGCAAGTCCTGCAAGGCCAATGATTTAGTCTGACTGAAGACTCCAGGAAATGAACAGGTCACCCAGGAGTCCCACTGTCTGACGGGCAATAAAGCTCGTCATTGAAGTGTGAGCAGAATTCAACAAGTTCACTGAGATAGCGTTTGGATTCCAAACAAAGAGGATGAAGAAATATATTCAAAGAACATACTGCAAATATGTCATGAATTTGGATGGGAACTGATGTATATGCCATATTAATGTACTGGTAAGATAACGGTATGCATGTCTTTGTAAAATATGATGTGCGGACAATTTTAGCATTAAGTAGGCTTACTGTCTGTCCTATCTGGATTCTGATGCATGGATTTTAGGAAACTATGTTGATAAAGAAGAGAAATAAAGAAAAACAAACTTACTTTACTATATGTAAGCTAAAATCTTTAGTTTTACTTAGCTGTAAGAAAAAGATAGAAACACTTTTGCAAGTGATTTGTAAAAGAACCTTTTCACATTCGGTCTTATTACATCAATAAAAAAAGTAACAAAATAATGCATAATTACAAAGTGGAATGAAAAGGTTGCGTATAAATAAAAGTCTAAAACGTGGAGCGTGCATTTCTATTACTCAACAAAATCCTGGGAATCCAACCGTTCTGAAAAAGGCCCAAGAGGCTGGTTAGAATTTATGACATAAAAATGTAACATCCTGAATGCTGAGTAACACACCAGACAGGTCAGGAGTAACGTTCTGATGATAGCTAAAGCAGGGTTTGATAAGTTAAAACCATTTCCAAAATTATGAAAACCTCACTGAAATGTTCAAGCAATCATCTAAAAAGGAGTAAGACATAACAGGAAAACCTCGTCCTCCACTCAAACTGACAGACAGCTGACAATAAGCTGTGAAGCAGCTTGGCCTTAATGGAAGCATGGAAAGAAAAGAAATCATTGTTGAATGAAATCCACAAATAGACCCACTTATTACTTAACAGGAAACATTTTCAAGGAGGTACTCTGAATCGAGCCTTTTACAAAAAGGCCAGGTCTGGCCTAAAACCAACACAGCATCCTGTAGAGATGTTTTTGTTCATCAGGGATGGTTAATGCGGAGCTTATCATAGGCCAATTGAAGAAAAAGATAAAGGGTATAAAAGACTTGAGAAAGAGGTTTCCTCCCAGCAGCACAATTACTCCATGCACACAACCAGAGCGACACTGGAACTGGTTTAGATCATGGAATGGTCCACTCAAAGTGTAGAACACAAAAGAAAAGAAACATAAAATCTATCTTAACAGAGAATATTTCAATCTGAAAGCAGACAAGCTATTTTGTAAAGTGAAAGGTGATTTTTCAAAGTATTGTCAATGGCAAGTGAGGATGAAAGCTGAACAAATGAATGGCACACTTTTTAGATTAACATTTAGAAAAATGTCTTGGATTCCTTTCACAGCAAAATTATGTGGTGCATAGTTTTAGTCTGTCACATTAATAATCTCTGTGGAATACGCAAAGGTTTTCTGAAGTAATGTTTTAAAACAAAGAAGTTCAAGAACAATTGCAATAATGAATAACTGTTACCATGACTGTTTTATTTCTGTATAAATGACGTGTTTTATAAAAGCTCAAAGCCATCCTTACCTGGTTCTTCAAATCCAGCTTGGGGCAGGGCTGTCCGCCGTTAAAGGCTTTCTCTCTGAGCCACTTGGACCTGATTTTCAGCCCGCTGCCACAGGAGGAACTGCATGCCGACCAAGAAGACCAATCACTGAGCTTACAGTCCAGGGGGCAAGGGATGTGACAAACCTCCACGATGTAGCCTACAATTGAACAAACAAATTCAGCCTGATTCAGAATAAGAAGGAGCAATCAAATCCCATATTTTTCCAGACTGATGGTTGGAAAGAAAGCTCAAATTCCTTCCACAAGTAACAACTTCAGCCTATTGTTTGCCTAAAAGCTGCACTGGTAGAACTAGCAGATCTTGAAACAGTCATCTGGAAAAGAAGAGAAGTTGGAAACCCTCTATGAAGATCATACAGTAGATAATCTTTGAAATTCAAATATACCTGAGTCTGTGCAGAGCGCGGGGTTAACCAGGCGTCCCCGCTGGTCAATGCAGGCCACGGCTCTGTACCGGAGACCTTGGCCGCACTCTTTTAGCTCTCGGTGCCTCATCCAACCGTGCAGTGACTCGAAAACCGGAGGATTTGGAAGGATGCACGCAGACCAATTCCCAAATGGCTGAGACAAAAACTCATTACAGGGACAAGTCTGGTTCTCTTCCAGCGGGTACATTTCCTGATTCAGGCAACGCTCCTTCTTTTTGCTACGGCCTAAGCAGAAAATGGACAAAACAATGAAAAGTTGTGACAACAGGAGCAAGATTCAAGTTTTAATGAAGTTTGAAGAAAACTCTGTCCCTTGTACAAAAACGGTATAAACGACTGAATACACAAACTGTTTATTTTTCGAGTTTGTATTCACTGGTAGGGAGCTAACAAACACTGATTTTCAATTGGGGAAGACAATTGAGATTAAATATTTATAACGATTTGAACTACATCAACTTGTTGCTAATGTATTCATAGCCATCCATCCTTAATATTACAATGTGGACAGGTGGAGAGACTAGAATACACATCAGCAACTTTTTGAAGGTGAAATGTTTGTTTAAATGAATACCACTGTGGGAAATGTCTCTACAATTATATAACTTCTACTTATTTAATATGTCCACTGAAGCCACCTGTATTTAATTCTGACTCGGCTAACATAATCTCTGTGGTGAGAATCACTGGTTACAAGTTCTGCAGCAAACTTTGTAAGACTGTGGAATACTTTGGATATACAGCTACTTCACATTCTCAAACTTCTCGAAAATTTAAACCACATCTGAAACTCGCAAATCCGTCAAAAATGTCCCAGGAGGCATAAAGTGTGTTTCTTATGTTCATGTCGCTTAGAAATTTGCATGATGCATTTCAAAGAAGCAGTGTTGCATTAGCATCTTAAAATAAACATTCACTAAGATCTGTTTGAGTGAGTTTGTTTGAGTAGATCTGAGTGATCGCTGTCGAATGACCATCAAGTCATCTGAAAGATTTGAATTTTTCTGCAGCAGATGTTGGAGTGTAAGTGTTGCTAAATGTAAATCAAGTTCTTTCAGTTTCTTGGTGGCATGAAAAAATGTTTGTCAGTTTGCTCAACGATCAACTTTACTGCAGCTCCTAACGCCCGAAATTAAATTTTTTTTCAGCAGAAGTAGAATAAATGAATTCCCAATCAGTTTAGTGCATCGTAATTAGGTGAAATAAAGTATACTTCCTTTCTGTTGGATCCCTAAATAACCTGAGGGAACAACTGGTGTTGTTCGAAAGCATATAAAATTTTAATTTTCAATTTATGCTCAAAGCCCCAAAGGCAAAAGCACATACTTGTTTTCTTTATATTGCTACACCACAGAGAACTGGAGCCACAGGAATCCAGAGAATTACTTGTCTTGTTGCATTTTGTTTATAGCTGACAAGTTTTATTTCTTTGTCATGTAAATATTCTTTACTTTGTCAAAAATTGACATAATCAACAATGGAAATATGAACAAATTCCTTATTTCACAATGATAATAAGTAGAAGACAACAATTTTTTTTTCTTCTAATTGTTTTCAGCTTTAATTTCTCTCTTTGTTGTTCCCCTCCAGTTGTAGTTTATCAGTAACGATCAGAGACAGTAAAAAGTTTGACTGTGTAGATTAATAGATTCTTGAAAAAGAGTCAACTGTCAACATTTGTTAAGAATTGGCTCTATATACATTAACTGAATTAACTGAATATCTTTGGGAAGACTTAAATTCAAAAAGACAAATTGAACCTTATTAGTATTTTGCAACCTTCAGATTTTTTGAGAAACATGTTTTCTGTAGATGGAGGGTTAGGGGTTAACCCTAACCCATATGTCAACATTTTTAATGCATCTTGGAGAACCTGCAATTTTCTGTAGCCTTTTAATTGACTTAGCCATGAATTTTAAAGGAGATTATTATAGAGCATCCTGAAAATAGTTGTCAGCAATGTCAGGGCAAAGTGTTGTTTGGTTAAAGAATTATCAATAGGGCAATTATTTCAATGCCTGCAGGAAGAGGTTCTGGCTTTCTTTCTTTCCCTCTCCAGGTCCTTGGGACTCAATACCCTTTATGCCTTTCATGTTTCCCTGCTTCAACACAAACACATTAATTTGATGGCTCATTATCAGAGGTCTGCTGAACTGAATGACCTACTGAGGGGATATTTCAACCATTTAACTCCTTCAAAATAAATTTTTTTCAGTCTCAGGATTTACAACAAACTGAATGCAGGCATTAAGAAACTTGCAGTCATTCCCAGTCACTTCTGAAATTGATTGAAAACACTCGAAGTGTATACTGGCTTCAGTAACATAATTTGATATATTTGACATAATTAAGTTTCTCTTCTCTCATGAAACATACACATGTTAAACATCAACACGAGTCTTTTATAACGGTCTTTGTGATAAATGACTCCAGCCATGTTAAAATGATTACAGAAACACACAGTCGTCCTGCAATTAGAACATGGTGGGTTTGATTTCAGTTTTCTCTCGTCTCTTGTTAATGTGTCCCTGGGCAAGGTGCTTCACCTTAAGTTGTCTGGAGTGCTTTGAGTGGTCAGAATGACTAGGAAAGTGGTGCATTAATTCAGTCCATTTATCATATTAAAGATGAACAAAGTTATGAAATAACATATTGGGATCTCACTTCTTTACATCATTTTTACCAGTGTTGATTACACTTTTAATACTCCCTTAAAATGCTCTGGCAAAGAAATAAACAAAGTGACATTGAAATGTTGCATAAGATGTTCAGAATTTTTGATGCAGTTAAATTTTCCTACATGTTCTTCAGCTGCACACTCTGGCTTAGTGTTCTACAGAATAAAATACACATAAATGCACACAAATGACAGACATGCTGGTTTATATTTATGAGTATTCTTCATTCAGTGACACACTAAGACTGTAAGGCAATGTTTAAAAAACTCTGCTGTTATCTCCTCTTCATGTCCTTGTCAATATTAAGCAAATAATTGATTTGATGAAAGGACAATACTCTCGACAGGGTTTCAAGACTCTGCATAGCAACTAGCAAAATCATGCAACTGGCTCAATTTGACATTGAAAAGCAAAATATTTTGCCATACAGGTATTTATTCAACATACGGTAATGCTACGTTGTTAAACAGATTTTTCAAAATATCCCCATCAAAAAAATCCCACAGGAGAAAGACATGAATAAAAAGTCATTGGCATTTGTCCTTGAGTAAACTAAAATAAAAAATAATAAAATCTCTTGTTTGGACCCCATTAAAATCTAGAATCAAACTTAAAATTCCCTATCTTAGTCATAAAGCACTCAATAATCAAGTGGATTATTTTATAAACAAACTGATCCAACAAATTTAATGTTTGCAGATGAGATTTGAGACACATCTCATGAATGAATGAATGAATAAACTGAAATGAATTGTTGCTGTCATGGCAGGCAACACTTAACTAACCATAATATTGAATGCATTTTAAGACAAATGTATAATCGTCACCTAAAAACTCAAGAACCCAGCTGTAGAAAAATTTCATTTAGGCCAACACCAACTAAAGTCCCGTTTAGTAAAGGTACTAAATAGCATTTCTAAGTTACTTTGGAAATGTCAATATGTAATAAAACAACCGTCATTTAGGATCTTTGTGCTCATTTCTTGTGGTCAAAAATTCAACCCATAAACAATAAACACTGAAATAGGCTAATTATAATGCGAAATCATGAATGTGATGTCGATTGGTAGCTCTAAATTGCTCTTATGAGTGAGTGTCTGCTTGGTTGTCTGTCCTGTTTTGTCTTTCGATTGGCTGTCAACTTGTTAAGCGACTACCAACCCTCTAACCAAATGACTCTTGGATATAAGGACCGACCTCTTTGCTCCTCCTCAGAGATAAGCAGGTATTGACTTTGGAAGGATTATTATGCAAACACGGGATTTCTGAAAATATGTTAATACAAAAGCCAATTCGGATGGGTCTTTAAGAGTTTGGTTACAAAAAAATAAAATAGAAAATTTATTCTAATCCTCATGATGAATAGCAGATTCTCACAGACTGACGTGTGGAAAATAAACACTTTGATCTTTGTTTTGACTCTTTAAAAATAAATCAAAGTTTTGCCAGTCAATAAATATATATATTTTTTTGTTCTCTGGAGTATATGTTGGGGAAATCTACTCTTCCATTTACAGAAATAAGCTAATAAACGATCTTGTTTTAGCCTGGGGGCTGCACAGTGGCACAGTTTGTAGCACCGTTGCCTTGCAGCACGAAGGTCGCGTGTTCCCGGCCTGTGGCCTTTCTGAGTGGAGTTTGCATATCCCTCCATGGGGAATCTCTGCATGGCCTAGTCTACATCTGTATTGTGATTTATTTACCGTATAAATCAACTCATCCATCCATAACATATTCTTATAAATCATCTTTTAGCCATACCAGATGTAGAAGTAGCAGTTTTATTCAGAGCGGCTTTTTAAATCCTGTAAAAAACAATACAACTATCACCAAAAATTTAAATTAAACTAAAATCCATATTTAATTGGAACAACTTGTATATTACCTCAGCAAAAAAAAAAAAAAAAAACTAACTAAATTAAAATGTTTGTCAGGATGCTGCAGACTCTCTACATTGTTCTTGTTAGAAGAGACTGTCCTAACTGGTATTTCTTTCACCAATGGGAAGACAATACCCACAAAGAAGTGAACCCTGCATTGTAAATTCGTATTATCAACATAGACGTTTCTTTGAACATTGTGAAGGTCAATGCTGGACATATCTGCTGAGAATATCTGACCGGAGCACGGAGATGGTCACATGACTCACAGAATAGGAACTGCAGGAGCCTGTAGAGTCTTTCAACGTTTAAAAACCCTTAAATACTCATTTTTTTAAACCTATGCTTATGAACATGGGTCATACATGTTCATAAGAGTGAACATGTGTTCAGTGTTAAGAGAGGCATTTAAAAGTGCCTCTCTTAACACTCTGAACCAACACCTGGGATTAGATCAGTACACCCTCCACCTGTCCCACACAAACAAACCAAAGCACAATAACGCCACTGTAACTTTACAATAAACAAGGCTATAAAAGCAGCTTCTCTTGACCTCTACACCCTTTACACCCAAACTGTTTTTCCCATTGCCTGAATGGGAAACAGATGAAACATTAACTGCTTCACAAAGAAACACCAGATGGCATTATATCGTTTGCTTGCTGATACACTGTTGAAATGGAGATTGTTATGGACTGGCTGTGAAGTTAAAAAGAATATCACATACCCATTAAAAACCAAATAATAAGAGCTTTAATGAATTCAAATCCCTTAAGAATACACTAATTACAACATAACAGTCACAATCAATGTAATTACTTTGTGTACTGTAAAACAAACTTATTTGAACATTTCTTGGCCTGCTCCAGACGGAAAGAGCGGACAGAGAAGTGAAAATGTGAAAGAGTGAAAGAAGTGAACTCTTGCTCCTCTCATGCAGCCGTATTTGTCTCATGGAGCCAGGGTGTTGTCATCCTCTAGAGTTCGCAGCCGCTGAGCTGCCCATCTGTTTCTGAAGCGGTTCTGATTGCAAACATTCCTCCCAGAGCGAGAACACGCTGCTGTCACACCGCAATCCACTAACAATTTGTTCAATCTACACCGCCGCTGGTGGCTGATTGAAAAGTACCAATGCGACATTACTTCACTTCGACAAGGACATCGACGGCGACCGCGTCACTTCAGGCATCACAAACAGTCAGCGTTAGAAATCAGCAATTTTCAGCTCATTCAGAAACTACGTGCATCATTTCTGACTTAAATTGCTCAGGTGTGTTCGACTAATGCACAACTCACACCTGGAAATCTGCAGACCTAATTCTGTTTAGCCTTGGCAGATGAGGGTTTACAAAAAAACAACACATCTGTGAAAGAGGAAAGATTGTGGCCAAGAATAAACTACCTTACAAACAACTTATACTGCTGTGGCAAATATCAAAAGCTAATTTATAAATGTCATCGGTTTTAAAATTTCTGTGCTGTTTAGATAGTGAATAAAAATGAAGATATGTGGCTTTTGCTTTATGATAATATGACTTAAATGTTTTGACTACATGCCTAATGATTAATTGACTCATATTATACGGTCACAACATAGTAATAGTTTTAACAAATATGAAAAAAAAAATAAAAAAAAAGGTTACCTACAAATATTTTATGTATTTGGTGCCATAAACTTTTTACTCTTAAAATGTCAGTCTTCTCTAATCAGTCTCATATAGAGTGATAAAACCGTTCAAGCTCACATTGTGCAAATTATTTTCTCAGAAGAGCATTTCAAAATGAAAGTTTAACATTTCATCAGGTTACCATCAGTGCAGTACATCACAAAGTAGAAAGTGTCAATTTTGTAACTTAATATAAATTTATAACGAACACAAGGATTTCAAAAATATATTTATACATAAAAATATTTTTGTCACAATGAAAACAATAAGTATAACCACTAGAAAAACAACAAATTAGGACATAAAATTTAGTTAAATGAAGGAAGTTACAAACCTAAATGGGATGGTGTCAGTATTTCTAAATGCAACTATTCTAGCATAATTCAGATATTTAAAAGTTAATTCTGACTAAAACGACTAAGAGCAATTGCAAACAGCTCCAATGCTGGATAGATTAGTTAAACAATTTATCTGCAGCTAAGCTCTGACACGCACACATCTAATCTGTGATCAGTGGGAGACATAATTCCTGTTTGAATCACGATGCATCACAACATATTGCAGGGGGATATGGCTGCAGATCAACAAGTGTTTGGAAACAAAACATTCATTTCTGTGTTTGTCTTAAAACATCCTCAGTGTCTGATCAGTTTACCATAAGCATACATCTGAGTATTTAAATATCAAAGATATGCAGTCATATTCAATAAATTAGTAAGAATGGTTAAATAGGTTTTAAACATTTATTTTATTAGTCCCATATTTCTGTATAAAAATTATTTTTATTGATTCTAATTTTTAATGTTTCACTTTCGTTGGCTGTAGTTGGAAAAATCATCACCATTGACAGAAATAAAGGCTTGAAAACATCGTTCTGTGTGTAATTTGTATATTTTGTTTCCCTTTATCAATTGAGATACAGAAAAAAAAACTTTCAATATTCTAAGCTATTAAATTTGACTGTATAACTTTGTACAACTTCATTAAGACCTCAATGAATAATACTAAACACAGAGAGTCATATTTTGTTGCTTCTGACTGTTTTGACAAAAAATGTTAGGCTGCCAAAGCTTCCAACTGTAGCCATGCTTCCATCCAATAGTCATGCAAATTTTGAGCGAACATTTCCATCTCAAGCATCAACATTTGTTGATGCTCGATTCTCAAGATGAAGAGGCTGCAAAGTAGCATGGCCCACACATTTAAAAAAAAAATGAAGAGTCCTCCCTTCCCAGCTGGGAGTTAGGACTTTGACATGAGCTTCCTGCCTCTAAGGTACAGACCCACTCAGAGGTTGTGTTAACAACACATTTTCCCTATTTGACTATTAAAAAAAAAAAAAAACATTGACATAAACATTTTAAAACCATCATGAAAGCCTCTTTGCTTTCTTGAGGCACCATCATGTCTGAGTTTGTTGCCTCTAAGGCACAAACCCAGCAATAAATTGGAAAGTTCACTAAATCAGAACGTATTCGAAAAAAGCAGTTTCCATCTCTCCTGTACGGCACTAACTCTTTTCAAAAAAGTTAAAAACTTTTAAGCGAGCTTAAAAAGCTTTTTTTGTGAAATTGGGAGTTATTGAACTTTCTTTTCATCAACCTTTTCTAATGCGAAACTTCAGTGTGAATAAAAAACCATTAACAGAAACATGGTTTATGAGTCACAATGAAAGGAGAACCATGACTACTTTATGCTATTTTTCTGAATTTTAGCCTTTTCTTCTATAACATAAAAGCTTTTTCACCCCTATTATGGCGGAATTTATTCAGTGTAATTACATAACCACATCAATGTCAATTAAAGATTAGATTTAACCTATTTCGTATTTAACAAGCAGTAAAACACTCCCCAGCACTGCTACTAATGAGCATATACACACTACATAACTGCAAATCCATCATACATATATTAATGTATCACCACCTACAGGCAGCCATACATTCATGTAATTTGCATGTCTTTAGGCTTGGAGGAATCGGAGCCCCATAAGGCATCAACATGCAAATTCCACCAAGAAAACCAGCAGGTCAGAAAATGACTGTGCTACTCTACCAGACCCAAACAGAGCTAGTGTCTGACAGAGAAAGGCATATACTTCTATTCATGCCAAATGTAATTTGTGGTTTTTAATTCCCCAAAGCCTAAAGGCTGAGGTACGGCTTCAAAAGCGTAAGGTACAAAGTCAGTGATTTATGTGTTGTTTAAGACATGTGGGAGAGCAGGCAGGTGGATGTGTCAGAGGTTGACAAAACACAGAGCAGGGGCGGCTGCTCATTTTGTGTTTTTCCTTCTTCTTTCAGGCCAGGGCAGTCTGTTATACAAACTGTGGTTATAACGAATATGACAGCACACAAAGCAAAACGTCTACAAGTGTGGTGGATTAGAGATCCACGGATTTAAAACAGTAATATCACAATTAATCTGTAGGTTCTAAACTTTTATAATAAATTGATACTATTAATAATGCTATAGACATATTTTGAATTATTTCAAGAGGTACTTACCACAAAACTGCCTAATATCTTTCAGCAGAGCATAACTTCTAATACAGCCAGTGTTTTTATAAGCAGAATTTAACAAAGTGACCTTTTTGTTCATGTTTCTTTCTTTGGCGGCTCAAATATTCCTGATTTTTTTCCACTGCCAACTCCTTATCAGTGGTAACTTTATCAGAACACTAACTGCAGTTTCTTTTTCTATACTTGTTTTTTCTTGACATCCTTCAACAGTTTGAAAAAACACATTGAGTTAACAGGTAAGTCTAATTATTTTTAGTTTTGAGTGCACAGGTGCAAAGCACTTCTGTTTCCTTCATATTTATCTGACATGACCACTGGAGGACCGAAGTAAATGGAGAAGCAAATAAATCAAAGACATTTTTTTTTTTCAAATTTACATTTTTTAACCTCATCCATGTTATTTTTAGATCCTGAATTTTCTGTTTGAATTTTTTTTGGATATCTCTCTCACAGCTTTGATGTCCACTGAAGTACACCATTTACACTGACATTTATGAAACTGAATAGTCTTTTGTTAAAGAGCTTTTTGGCTCTAAAATAACTTCCACTTCAGATACAGAGAAAGCAGTCAGCATCGAGCTCAAGGAGGCTTTACAAAATAGATGAAGTGTCTAAGCGTAGGCTGCCAGCTTCCTTAACCATAGACTGGAGCTTCACAAAAAAACAGAGCTCATCCGCCACCCATCAATCTCTGTGACAGAGAAATTTAAACAAGCCCTGAAATTTGGCATAATCAGTTTAAGCTCAAAACATCTTTTATAACCAGCACAGGGTAATCAGAAATAGATCAAATTATTCCCAGGGAAACCCATCGGAAAGCAATGTCTGATGTCATATGTTAGTTTCTCAGAGTGTTATGAGGGGAGAGAGGCTAAGTTTACTACAACCCCTTCAGCATTAGATTAAATATTCATGAGGACAAATAGTGCCCAATCTGGTCTGCAACCATGACATGTAAATCATAATCTGCCATCTGCACAGAAATTGGGGATAACAAGCTATAAAGAGCTAATTTCGACCTGGTGAAATGCTAACAGGGACGGTGTAAAGTTATAGTAAGACGACCTGAATTACAGCCGAGGCGATGCTTACTGAAAATGGTACAGCAAAGTCCACATGCTTTTGAGTATGTGAAGAATATGCAGCAATTAGTGCTGTCCAAGAAGCAACAAATAAATCCTGTCTGCCGCTGCCTTGGTGAGATCGATACGGATCAGGCTGTCCAAAGGCCGCCTTGAGGAAATAGCTGCAACCTCTCACTAGATAGTCGGGCTCGACAAAAGCTTTCATCTTCGCGGCTTTAATTTATTTCCGAAGTCGCAGTCAGCCATATCAATGAAATCATGCAGCAGCAAAGTGAGAACGTTTGACCTCGGAGGAAGATCTGATTGTTTCTGGAGTAACGAATGAAGCAGTTGTTTTTGCATGACGTTAATGTTCCCGAAAGATTAAAAGTAAAAGAAAAGTCCGTACCTACAAGTGAACGCCTGCGAGTGCGTGAGCTGCCACATCCGGTGCAGTCAGAAAACCTGGACCAAGCAGTCAGAGTGCAGTCGTCCTTGCACGCCACCCGGCATTCTCTAATCTGAGAGGGAATGGGTCCAGCCCATTGCAGGCACTCTGTCATGTTGGCTGGCTCTCCATCTTCCCCAACACAACTGATTCCTGCAGACACATGGAGAGGAAACTATTCCAATTACATGATTAATATTCACACAATAGCTGGTTCAGACTTTAGTAGGGCTGAGAAAGTAGCGTAGGGCACAGAAGTTTTGCGGACCCAAATATATATTCAGTTAATTTGAAATATATTAAGTTCTGGAGTTAACCAAGTTCTGGAGAACTTTGAAACTTAAGTTTTGACTGGGAGAAACTTTTTGATCCAATTAGAGTTAGGGCTTAGCAGGTAGCTAGATATTAGGGTGATTGAAAAGAGGCCCTCCAATTTCTGACACTTTGAGCTAATATAGCTAAGATATACTAAATGCCAATATACTAGAGGAAAGATGCAAAAAGTTGGTCAGCAATTTAAAAAAGTTGGTCAGCAATTTAAAAAAGTTGGTCAGCAATTTAAAAAGGCTTTGCTTGCTGTAAAGCCAAAAATAACAATTTTAAAAAATCAAAAGAGATTTTGAGAAGGGCAGAAATAACTTTTTGTAATCATTCTGTAAGGCATATAAATAATGTTATGCTTAACTGTAGCAGTGGTAAAGATGTTTTATTTTTCTCTTTATTTCACATATTTGAACATTTAAATATTTTTATAAATATAAAGTACTCAGAATAAAAATTATTCATGGTCATATTTGTATGCAAGACGATTAAGTCCACAGAAAAAATTTCTGAAATTTGAGTTGAATGCAAATGAGAGAGATGTGAGTCGTGCAGCAGAACAAACCTTCTGGTAGAACAGGTTGGATTTAAGTGAATTTATTTTCAAGTAACTAATTAAAGTCAATATCTTGAGCCAACATGTGTATATATATAATTTTTTTTTCCTCTAATCCTCTTCTATAGATTTGTATTGGAATATAAATATTTCCCTTGATAAAGATGATGTGATGCCACATAACTTTTTTTATTAAACATAAAAAGGGTATAGATAATACATATTTTATTTTTGCAGGTAGTAAGATCCAGATGTCTTTGTCAGTAAATAAGTTAATTCTGACATTGAGAAAGAATGACACCTGCTCCAACCACCAAGTTGAATCAAGTTTCTTCAAATCCAAAACAGAGACAGTACAGGAAAGTAGAGTCCTGCCTCATGAACATTTGATAAAAAAATAAAAACACCGTCGAGGAAAAACTTATCCTAAAACTTTGATGCCTTAGAGAATTCACTGACAAGTACAAGCACACAACCTACAAACACACAATCTATTGTATTGATTCACATCTGACTTTTAAATTTCACCCTCTGACAAAAGCTGTGTGGTTTGCTGTGGGTGCGTGGGGCGGACATTTACATTGAAAGCCTAGCAAAGGCGATGATGTCCATTTATGTAACACTAAAAATCACAGCTCTAAAATCAAAAGACATTTGTTAAAAAAAGGGAAACTGATAGTTGCTGAGGGAGCTTTATTCCTCTTTTTAGTAAAAACTTCATAGGAAGAAAGAAATTCACAAGCTGCAAAGAAGTCGTCCAGCTATTATCACTGTGACCGCTTTGTCTTCAATCACATTTATTTCCATCCTTTCACCTGTTCACTTAGAGAGCCAACTCCACCACAGACGGCCTCATTCTGTCATTCTATGTGACTTTTATTAGCATTTCTGTTCTGACTTTCTGACTTTGAACTGTCGACCAGCCAACTTAAGCATAATTATCTCTGTCTGTTACGTCAGCTCATTTGTGTGGCTTTCAAAGAAAACTCTCAGCAACTGTGATACTCTTGCCATAATGTCTTCACCAGTGGCAGGGATCATCTTTTACTATAGACTGCTAGACAAAGGTAAGCATCTTGAAGGAGGTATGTTACCAAATCCTGCCTATATCTTTGTGGTATGATTGAGGAGTACACATAAAAAGGTATTCTTTAAAGATCAAAGCCAGGTTTCCTTCTGTTATCAACCAAAGATCCATTTCCTAATATTACTTTTAATAGGAGGTTTTTAATATTCACATTTTCGCCATCAAGCGTAATTTCCATTTTAATTCCGTATGAAATGTTCTTCATAAAGTATTGTGAAGAGTGATGTGGACCGGAATCATCAGAGCCATTAAGCCACATCTTTCCTGCACATCAGCAAAACTCATTTTCCACTGAATGATCTTTTCCAGGAGCTGCAGTTCTACCAGGAGAGGTTCATAGTACATTCTGCCAGAACTGACAGTTTTGGAGTTGGATTGTGACAATATGTTGGAAGTTAACGGAAAACCGAACTCTGCAAAGTTGTCGGTTGTTTAATGAAGATTTTCTTGAATTGTTATCTTCCAGATGATTAAATTTGGCCAGGACCACTGGTGCATCCTATATGTATCTGGTCTTTGGGAAACTTAAAAAAGCAAACGGTGTTATACAGTCTGCAAAACTAAAATATTTATTCAGGGTTTTAATCTGAATATTTTTAAAATGCACCGGTTAATCCATTATGTTTTATCATAAATTTAGCAGTAAAGTTCTCCTTCAGGATTCTGTTTCGTTTACAAGATTTCTTAGAGTTTTCTACATAAAGTTGAACTATGACATATTTTAAATGCCTGATATCATAAAGCAATCATGATGTCAATGTAAATGTGTTAGAGACAACACATTTTATTCACATTTTACAACGTTTTCTTTTAAACACAGAAAGTAAAGTAAATGAGCTTTAAAAGCCATTGAATCATGTTTTTTGTTTGTTTTGTTTTGTTTGTCAGGGTGTTCCTCTTTAAAATTACTTCCTATAAAGGTTTATCTAGTTAATGTGAAAACTTGGCGTTTAAGCACCTTTCTAAGAAAACATACAAGCACCAAGATGGTTCCTCACTGTGGGGTCAATAAAAGCCACTTATATGATTTTACTCTATTAGCCTCCATCTATTCTAACGTAGAAGACATTGGGACCCACATACACTTTCCTATACTTGGTCTTCCAAGCCAAGTTGAGCCATTAGGGCTGGAAGGTTTGACTATCTGGCCTCCAAACCAAACAGCCTGCAAGGGGGAACTGGGCAGTCAGCATCAGCTCATTAACACTATTTCTGCTCTTACACAGACGGATGGCAGCATCCTTATGTTGGGATTCTTTTCTGCCTCTTGGACAGTGCTGTGAGATGGAATTCAACATATATTTATATATAATGCATTGCAATTCTGAGAGAAAATCATCCCTAAGATTAGGATAGATTTTACATTTTGGCAAGATAATAGCTAAGAATACCAAAACAAAAGAACACACAGCCTAGCCTGAGGAAAACACAAAAAGTATTGCTGTGCCTTCAGATGTTTTTGAACATTAAGGAAGTGTGAGGTCTTTTGGGAAGATTTGCACTGAACCAAGTCCCTTTGCTAACTTGTTGAGTTTGATTGATCTGCCTGAAACAAGTAAGAAAAAAAAATGTGCAAAGCTTGTAGACTAACACCTAGAAAGGCTCGAGGCTGACAGTACGGCTGAACATGCTCATTCCAGGCATACAGTACAGAAACCTTAAGGTTAGTCTGCAGCTGATGTTACGCTCTAAAGCTCGAAATGCAAGGCTGACATTGATACTTGACCTTGTTTTGAATGGAGTAAACCTCCTGCAAGACGGAATGGCTGATGCAATTGTTTACTGGAGGAGGAATGCAGGAGAATTACACTACAGTTCATTTTACAGAATAAAATAAGCTTGCATGTCTTTTTATGTAAAAAGTAGCCACTTTAATAGGTACACTGTCACTCCGAATGTCAGCTATAAGTGGAAACTGATGCTATAATTTTTACAGCATCAGTAAAAATCTTTTACTGTGGAAAATCTTTTCCAAATCTTCTTTTCAAGGCCTTTTTTTTATTTTATTTTATTTTTTAACACACTATGCGTTGGTTTCAAGTCAACATGCACTAAAATCTCTGATAATTTACTGCAATCATGAAGAGTTCAAGACATTGTGAAGACTAAGAGGGGTTAAAACCAGAACTGGTAAGGTATACCTAATGGCTCATAAGTTTTTATGGCTGCTTTACCAATAATCAATCACTATATCCCTGACATGTAGATTATTTTTTTCTAACATGTTGTTCACAGCCATCTTTGCTACATAAACCATGCATTAGATACTATGTTGTGAGTGAAATATGTGAACACATATTTGCAGGAGATTTTTATGGATGTCAGTAACGGATCGTTTCTTTTCAACATCTCGCAGCGTGGGAATACAGTAGCAGTAACAGAGCTTTCATGAAACAAAGATTTGTGCTCTGAGAGCTTTTGTGGCTTCGTGAAAACAGAGCTGCTACTCAGGCGATTTATCCTCTCAAGTTTTTATTACTACGATCAACTTCAAATTTTAGCTATTTGGAGGAGGAAGTGCTTCACAAAGACGGACATAATATGTTTCCCACCTGATTAAAAAAAAAATAAAAAATCTGCAATTTTATATGTCTTAAAACATTGAGTCTGTATAGGGTAGAACTTTTCTGAATTAATTTTATTGTTTTATTTCCCCGTCATTCCTCTCAGAGACTGCTGTATTCATTTATGCAGGGGGGGGGAAAAAGAAGACTGTTAAGAACAAAGTTAGAAACAAATTTATACTGCAAATGAAATCATCTTTTTGTTACTATAATGAGAATACGGAGCATTGTGTTGCTGTGGTTTACCTGTAGCAATGCTATGTTTTAAATATTCTTTCCCACAACTGGGATTTTCTATCCTCAGAAAGTATTGAAGGATAAGAAGTGTTTTTATGGTTGCAATTAGATAAGAACGGGACTTTATCAAGGATGCTAATCTCTCTTCATACAACATCCTGCTGGGTTTCCCCCCCCCGGAGATAACGAGCTAACGCTTGGCTTATTTTGAGAAAATAACCATAAAAGATATTGAACATTGTCATGAAGCTATGTTAGGCATAAATACTTTGTGTTGCAATTTGTCACACAAAAAATATATATTTTTATGCCCTAATCAGAAAGAGAATTAGTGAAAGAAAATATTGTTTTCTGAGAAAACAGAACAATGTGTGCGTTTGCATTGTGTGCAAATATGCACACACTTTATAGAGACCCAAAGGAATCTGGTCTTTTGTTAACAACTATGCATAATTTTACATTTTTTTCCTCACACCAGAGGTCTGAAATATAACATTTGTTACTTTTCTAGGTTCTCACACACTACAAACATCAATAAATATTCATACAATAAATACAATCGCAGATAAACAAAGTACCGAATACCACCTATATAATGTAACATTTTCAAATATACAGAGGTAAGTGCATAGTCGTTAAAGGTCTGTGGATAAATGAAGAAGTCCGAAGTCTTAAATACGCCCTTGTCAATTGTTTCCTTCCTGTACCATGGTCCTTTTCCCAATTATTATGCCCTAATTATATATCAGTCTGACATTTATGTATCCTTGGCCAGTGAATTGGTTTTGCCACCCATGGAGCAAAAGTAACTCAAAGTTCTTTGCCATTCGTAAGTCTATATTTAAATTCCGTCTTTCTACTAATTACGAATTTTAATCTCATACTTGAGTTTTTTTAAAATGTCACAGGTATTTAACTTAGCCATTTTCTAATCACATTCAAATAGGATGCTCTAAAGGTCGATGAGGCTTGCTCTTAACCTGGGAACGCCACAAACACTTTCCGTCGTGTGCTCGTTAAAAATTCACTTCAGAAATGTCAGTCATAATTACAAAGGGAGACGCTCGCTGAGACCGGAACTGCTCAAGTTCTCAAGGCAACACAGAGTGAGGCTGCACACTTCATTGAGTCGGACACATTTAAACAGAGCCACCTTCTGCAAATGTGTTACTGGACGTTTGCTCACCTGTAAATCCATACAGTGTTGCATAATGGTGTTTTAATTATATAGAAAATGGGAACAACCTCCACTGACAAATCTAAAATGCTAATTAAAAACCTCTTTACTCTGGAGCAAATCGGCAGCGCTTTACAATTTTCAAAGCAAGGAATTTTCAGATCAAATGATCTAACAATTTCGACTGGCAAATGCACTTTCCTTCTAGTACACTTTAATGTGGCGTAATCATTTTATGTGTTAGATATAATAAAGACACAGTCTAGCCTTAGACATCTAGTTTTAAAAGTATAGTCTATTCTAACAGTCTTCTTAACAGTATAATAAAGAACACTTATGCAATGAGTTTATTTGGCAACACTTTATTTGAAGGGGGGTGAATAAGACTGTCATGACACTGTCATAAACATGACATAACACCTTTCATGAACATGAATAAGCCTTCATGAATATTTATGACTGTTGTCATAAAGCGTCATTCGGTAAATTATGACACTTTTAATACAAAGTTGACATTATTGAAAATGTCTTTGTTATGACAACTTGACATTAACCAGGAAATCATTACTGTTTAAACTTTACCTTTAATAACATAAAGTTACCTAATTTTTAAAGTGCAATCAGTAATACTTTTATAACAAATTTATATCAGTAATGATTTCTTGTAATTCAGTGTCATTACAGTCTTATTCACCCCCTTCAAATAAAGTGTTACTGTTTATTTCTATAAAAGGCATCTATTAAAACACATACAATTTTTCATAAATTAATGTCAGGAAATGTATCACTCACAGGTCTAAAAGCCCAAGTGATGAAATGAGCTATTTTCAGCCAGGGCGTGTTTGTCTATTTGGTCTGGACCAAATGCAAACTTTGCTTTTTTTGTTTTTGTTTGGTGCAGTTTGCATTCACATTGTATTTTTTTGCAAATTAACCAACTTGTAAACAAAGCCATGCAGGTGACGATCATTGCTCTCATGGGGTGGGAACGAGAACAGACAGAGAAAGACAGTAAATGTGGAAGTTCTGTCTAATGCCGTTCTGTTACTCACACTTGTGCTGTTATCACAACTGCAATACAATTTTGAATGTTGAGAGAGCAATGTGATATTTATCATTTTGAAACGCAGTCAGCAAATGCGTGTTGCAAGCTGAAAGAGACAAGGTGCTCTGTGTGTCCTGACCTACAACATGCAACACTGAACGAATAATGTTTACCATGATAATAATAATAATAATAATAATAATAATAATAATAATAATAATAATACATTTTATTTAGAGGTGCCAGCAACTCAGGTTTTACCATAGAAGAAGCCAAACAAAACAAACATAGTTTGGATGGATTGCATGGAAACACTGATGGTTTGCAGTCATGTTAATATCAGGTAAAAACATGACATCATATAAATCAAATTTAAGTACCTAAAACAAGAAAATGCAGCTTGCTTGCCTTTTTTTTATTTTTTATTTTTTTTACTGCACAGTAGTTTTTGAACAGATTTTTGACAGTTGATATTCCACTTTCTTTCTGAAGTTTGTTTATGCCTGGAAGTTAAATCTCTCCTTACAACATTTTGATGTTGTTTTATATAGCTTGGATATGCAGAATAAAAAAAACATATATCATATATTAAATGTTATTATTTGAAGATGGTCCAATTGACCTGAGTATTTATCCATGCTCCTGCAACATAACAAGAGAGTGCGAACAGTGCTGAAAGTGTAACTTATTAGCAGAATACATTATTGGAAGCCAATTCAAAAAAGTTGTCTACTTCTTTTCCACATCATCTGTTCAAGAAGCCCAACAGGAACAGATATTTGATCTTTTTTAAACAGGCAGTTTAAGGGTGGAACAGTGAAACACGGTGGCAGCAGCTGTGTGAAGAACAGAAAGTGTGGAAAAGACAATAGGTCAGGGTTAATACTTGCCTCTTGTTTCTAAACCATTTCCACAGGCTTCTCCTGATCCCGATAATCCCCGTCTAACAGAATCGGGCACCAGGGTACAACTGTGCCACTTGTGCATCCTCCACCTACATAGGGAGACAAACACAAAGGTTTTATTTGGTAAAGGATGAATGCAGTTTTGTATCATAAATGTCAGAACTTTTTATACTCAATTTGTGGATTGATGCACCTTTGATGAAGCATTATTCATCTTGTAGAGATTAAACAGAACATTATTATTGCTTTTAAATTAGTTTTGTTTGCATATTCTCTGTTTAACAGAAAAAAAATTGTCATACATATTTTATACATATTCGTGATCAAACATGGCATCAAACAAACACAAATGCATTTTGAATCTCTTAACCAACTAACTAATTTGCATGTATATTATGAAGCATTGTGCAACATTGTAGAATAATTAGTTAGCATTTTAAATAGGCAGATAAACAATGAGAGCCAATTGTGAATAACTGTTTTCCTTGATGTTTTATTTCTCATTTCTCATGTTTAGATTAGCAGGTGGTAAATTATAAACGCTCCAAATTAAACAACAATAAATGAGATTCACAGTTTAATGATTGGAGTCATGAAACTCCCTTTAACTACTGTTTTTCCCAACCTCTTTATCTCAAGCCTCATTTTCATGATAAATCTGACTCAGTACGGTGATACTGTCATTAATTCCCAATACTAACAGCAATAAACTTTTTTTAGATCATTTATATATCTTGTTCCAATTGAAACAGCTAAAGAGTTTAAACCAAGAGGTAAGTGTTGTTTAAATATATACACAGATCACTATGACCATCCGTCCAGATTGGGCTTGTTTGAGCAGCGAATCACAGAAATGGTTGATTTCGCAGGAGAGCACAGACCAAAGCGTCACCCTGTCTCTCTTGCCATGCTTTCTTCTTAAATTGTTTTCCACAGGAAGGCGGCACACACATACCTGACCAACCAAGTAAATAAAAACATCATCTGAGCAGAAAAACCTTCTTCCTTTGAGTCAAGGTTGAGTTCTGATGATTACAGGTCGATGAATAGCATAGCGAACCTGATTTGCATAGGTCAAGAACAAGAGCTGCAGTGTTGCAAATATTTAGTGAATACATTGTTTAACCATCACAATTTGGACCAACTATTTTTCCTATTTAACTTGAGGGAAACTGAAGAAATTTTTATTAATTTTAGATAGAGGTGTGTTGAGCAGGGAGGATTTTTAATGAGCCAGTTATGCTAGCTAACAGCTAGCTAGCAGATACTCTGTAGAGTATCTGTAGGTACTCTGTTAGCTTTCAGCTAGCTAACAGATACTCTCCAGAGTAGCTAACAGATATTCTCCAGAGTATCCAGAGTATCTGTTAGCTAGCTGTTAGCTTCTGCAAAGAGACTTTTCTTCAATTATAAGAAAACTTGAGGTCAAACTTTATGTGTGGACACTAAATGAAAAAGTTGCAAATTTTGTTAGTTGGTTGTTCTATGACTATTTTTTTTTCACCAAACAATATCAGTAGCTAGCCTAATTATATAACTGCATCAGGATTTTGACATTAATTTGCTAAGACTGGGAGCTGAGCCCGTCTAATCCAAAAACAGTAACAACGGCAGAGTGAAAATGTCTAATTGTGAAAGTGAAGCTGAAATGCATTTTTCTGTGGAAACGAGAGGACATCTGTTAGACCCAGATATCCTTGACTAAAGTCCCTGTTTGAAGTAGCTGCTTGCTTGACTCCCCCATGAGTCATGGTACCTGATTCTACAGAGAAGGATTGGTCATAGCCCCCTTTTACTTTTTTATGGGGAAATTTGATGAATATTTATGTACCCTTACGACAGTGTAAAAGCTGTACGTTTAACAGCCAATCATCAGTCTGTCCACCCTAAACTTCAGTTTTACCTGATTATCGACCTGAGAAAGAAAAGTGTAGCCTTTTTAGAATGCACCAATGAGTATATAGTGTAATTTAGAGATTGCTTTCCTGCATGTTGGATCAAAGTCAGATTCACCCACGTTGCTAGGCCATATCATCAAAGACATTATGGCTTCATTATCTGTGACCTTACAGATAATGTCATCAGTGTGGATAAGATGGCTGAGGCAGCAGGCAGTGGTGCTCACTGAAATAACCTACTATGACATCTATATGGATGAACTGAATCTGAAGTTGTTTTTTTTAATGCAGCATGACAAACTAAAATATGTCTTTATTCAATAGGTTACTTGGATTATCTAACTCACTAACAAAATGTAGCTATTGAATATTTCACATAAACTAACTCTTACAACGAGTTTTTTATCAGGTTGTTGCCCTTAACACGTTCCACAATGCATTACAAACACGGTACATTACTCTAAGTCTTGCTGATAAGAAAAGAGAAAATATTTAACTATAAATTTAGTTTTTACCTAAACACCGGACATACACGAACTGAGTCACACTCCCTTCCTTCGTACAGTGTGTCAGGGCACTCTTGACCTCCATTAGCAGGCGTCTGAATGATGATTCTGTACCGAGATTGCATTGCAGCAGTTGAATTATCTGTTCAACATGAAACACAAATTTCACAAAAAGTATCTTCTTACAATGCAGTACACAAAAAGTCTAAACAGGTAAACGAAGGAGACCCTTGTAGAGGACAGAGAATTTAAAATGATGAGAGCACAGGTTTCTTATAAATGTCTCCAACGAAGACCAGACATCGTCTGACATCTCAAAGAGACAGCCAAAGAAACAAGTGATCTCGAAATTGATCTGACTCTGATTAGCATGCCCTTGATGCTCGTGATGTCCTCCACTTCACTGCAGTCTGTTTTCGGACACACCACAATGTAATGGCTTCATTTGGCTCGGGCTCCAAGGCTCATTACACAAAACTAATTACAAAACATTCAAAATGCTGCAATTAAGAAAGTGATTAGATCGTCAGCAGGCCCAGTGGACTACAGCATATTTACAGCGACGCTATGCCTGCTCACTTCTTCAAAAAACAATTACATATTTTTTGATTTACAAGATACTACAGTACACCTGTGGAAAAACCATTAAATATTCATTTTCCTCTTGATGTGTCAGCTTAATGTAATAAACCCTTAAGGGCATCATCTGCAATTAAATGTAATTATTAAGCACACTGGACCAGTTTGATGTGCCAGTTCATTCTGCTTTGTCTTGATCAATTGTTCCCTCACAACACAACAACAAACTGTTAATGAAGAAACTCTCAAATTGTGCACTGGTAGGTTTAAACTGATATTTATTAATGAATATTTCCACATCATATGAATATTATTTTACAAAGTGTGGCCAGTCTTATAGGTAAATAACATCATTCTTCATGCAAAGACCTACCTGAGAGACAAGACGCTGGACATGGTGTCCATTCGCTGAAGGGGGTCACCACACAGTCCTTCTTGCAGGGAAACAAGCAGGGCCGGGTAGTTTCTGGGCGAGAAGACTCTAAACACCTGCAAATGTGGACAAGAAGTGTCTTTAAATTGACCTTATCCCAATGCACAACGCACAACTTGGTTTTCACTGGCAAGAAAGCAATATGGTGGACCAGCTGTTCTGTGCTTCACAGATTTTCTTAATAAATGAGGCCGTTCATGCATGCGAATAATTAACACACACACACGTTGCTTTCCATCCATTGCCAAGCTCCTGCGGTAGAACAATCCCATTAGCAAAATGAAACCTGGAGATGCAGGTATTATTCATTTAGATCACATGGCAAAGCCAACTGTACCGAGTATAAAGCTTCCAAACCCATTTCAAATTACCTGATGATCAGTGGGTTGACAGTCCTCAGAATTGGCTGCCAGTTCAGTATGCGGACATTTACAATTATCTCATTAACATAGGAGCCGATTCTTGAGCCCGATTCTCCAGCACCCACGTGTACCAGCTAAACCAGTTCCCCTACACAGGGTCAAATAGAGCCATCTATCTCATGCCACACGCAGACCTGTTGCCGTGGTAACCGAATGACAACACCTCCGCTAACCCAGAAAGCTGAGGTTACATTTGAGTGTATCGAGATTCAACACCAAAAAACATGCAACATTTCCCAAGCAAAAAACAGAACATTCAGTTCTTTACAGTTGATTTTTATTTTGGATTATTGTTAATAAATAATCAGCAAAGGTTGATTAGCTAAACAATTGCACTACTATTAATCTGTCAGAAAGTGGGTGTTTATAAAAATTTACATTTTTATTAAAAATTTTTTGGTAACTGAGCAAAAGCCCACTGAACTGCACATCTTAGTTAAGGTTATTAAAGTTAAGCTAGCATAACTAGCCTACTTCCCTTTCTCGCGCTATTTCTTATATTAAAATATTTTACTGACCAGTAAAATGTGATACCTTGCTGTCTAGTTGTCATAGTGGTGACAACTAATAATTCATCCATCCATTTATCTTTTATATATCATGCGTAGATTTAAGGTTTAGCACGGTTTGTTGACAGCTAAAAAAAATGTCATCAACTTTTCTGCCGCCCAGCAGGAAGCTGGGTGGGGGGGATCTTGTGTGTGTGATTTCACATTTAGTATTAGATAGCATGTATCATATTTTAAAATTAACACATTTACTCTAAAGTTGGAAAATATTAAGAGCTTTTAATCAGTAATTCTGTTTTCTTGCAGTGTGTGACAGAAACAACACAACACGTTACGAATGTCACATTACTCATTCTGCATCTAGATTACATAAATATAACAGGTTCACCCCTGAGTGCATTCATTCTTTCACATTTGAATCTGTCCTGATGATAGTTTCTTTGTAGAGCTGCAGCAGATCTTCCTTGGAATTAGGCCGATCTGTAATTGTGCCTCAATTTGAAGTATAAAATCTAACCTTTCAAAAATGTATTTTTCTTCCTCTTCCTGTACTCAGATTCCAACTGTATTCTACAATCTGCTTCTCCTGGTCTCCTTATTGTCGCTTTTTCACTTATTCATGCAAATCCTGAAAAATGTCAGAGAGCTCAGTTTTGAAGTAGCAATGAATTTGCTAAAAGAGGTAAAGAGATATTCAGTGAAAGCCCAGTGACATCTCACCTTATGCAAATCTTCACCTACTGGAGCTTTACCCAAAAAAACTAAGCAACTTCACTGAATTATACTGTTAACACAAAACCAGTGAAAATAAAGGAAAGCACATCCACCAGTAATTGCTCTGCCTCAACTTTGAACTAATAACATTTGTCACTAATGAATTCTACTGCTAATTAGAGGACCAGGATAGCTATTACACCTTTTTATTGTGTGAGATTGCCTAATTGTTTTTGAGATCAACAACCACTGCCTCCATAATCCGATGAGGCACAGTGTAGAAGGAGTAAGTAGCAGCCCTCAGCGACATTTTTTTTCTTCTAAAAATACACTTTGCTCCACCTGTGTCAGAGATAAGAAACAGGATAACGCCCAGCTGCCAGAAGTGTGCAACTCTAATAACAAGAAAAGCAGATTTAGCATTTTGTTGGAGTGTAATCTAGGAAGAAAGGGTTAAAACCAGGGTGCTAATTAAATTGGAGAAAATGTTTCAACATGAAAACTGCATAACAGTACGTCATCTCTGACATGTTAAAGGAACTGTTAAAGTTTTTTTAGTGCCTTCTTTCTCTAAAATTTAAAAAAAAAAAATCTTTTCATGTCTTTTAGGCAAATTCATTTCTTCTGTAACGTATCTTTAACACCCCACAGGCCGTGTTGTATTCTCTGAGTTGTAGAGCTTTAACATGATTGGGATTAAAACACTCTGCAAAATAAAATAATTCATAAGCTTTGATGTTTTGATCAACCAACAGGCAAACCCCTCCTCCTTGTCTTGCAGAGGCATGCATAGATCTGCAAATTTCATTTCGGGCTGAGTGACTCCCCCCCCCCAACAACCAGAAATCCAGGATTCACTGGAGCCCCAGCATGGTGCCACATCCCTCCGACTGCACAAGCCAACACGGACAAGAATGAGATCAAAGTATACCAAAGCATGAGAAGGCAGGATATATAAAACCTTTTCCTTCCCTGGCTTTATCCCCTCTCTTCTCTCTGCCTTTTTGCACTGATGCATGCCAGAGGCAATGGCAACGCAACAAAGCAGCTGGGGGAATATTGTGGGATTTGCTTAAAATGAGGATGTCAGACATACAGTTAAGGCAATGAGGTTCAGCTGTGACAACAGTGTGAGGATTGGAGGTCTTTTAGACATTTCTGAAAATGTAGAGAAGTCAAAGACCAAATTAATTGCTTTCATGGTCTAAGGTAATCCGCACTAAAAAGATAAATACTCTTTGTACTCCACAGTTTCCATAATTATTGAATTTATTTAAGTCCTCAGAATGACTGTGGATATTGATTTTCAACAGTAAACAGAAAACTGCACTGAAATCAGCCTTTGTAGGATGGACTCCAAATTAAAGGTGGCGCTTTGAAGCGGGATGACTGAACATTTTTACCTTGTGGAATATCCACATTTGTTTCTGTCTTCTCCTGGTTTGTCCTGATCTGCAGACCCTTTTGTTGTTTGGTAGCTTTATAATATTGGAAATTATCTCTGTAAATTTGTTTGAAAACAACACCTAGGCACAGTCACTGAATATCACAGGATTTTACAGAGTTTCTACTTAAACACACTGATCATAAACATCAATCTCAGTGGGATTAGGTAATTAAAATACACGTCAACGTTTAGTGTCTCCAAGGATATATGGAGAAAAATGTTTTCATCAAAGCCTAAAAGATTTTAATTGGTAAAGTTGGAATATTTGTCAATGTTTATGTCCTGAGAAAGATGAAAAAGCTATCACAGCTGCCCAGGGTTTTTGATCACTGATTTTCAGTTTGAATGGAGCAGAAACGCTGCTGCTGCCACAGCATGTGCATCGTTACTACTCCCATGACACACATCTTACCAACATTAAAGATTTTAATTCCGTTTTAGAGCTTAGCTGCTGTTAAATTGTATTAAATAATTACTTTGGATAGTTTACTCTAATCCTGTTTAGAGCCCGTTTTATTTTCCCCCTTTCATTCCAAGAAATGCGATTGGTGCAGCTCATGTAATTCACTCCATCTACACGTTTCCCTCACTGTACAGTTTGGAGAGGCTTTCAAACCATAACCACTATGAAACAATTTGAGATTAACACATTATTAGTCTGATTTCACTGTTTAAATTTTGGACTCCACAGCTGCAGTGGATGGGGATCACAGCTGGACTCCAGGAGTAGCAGGAACTGCTCTGTGTCAGGTGATGTAATCTACATAAACTCTTGTTAAAAATGCATGCAAAAAAGAGTTTAAAAAAAATGTTCAGGGATACACTCGTCGTGTCTTATACAAAGGTCAAAAGTTTAATTTTGACGTGACTAGAGGTCCTTCCTGGTGCCCTACATGGCTTGTGGCAATCTTTAGGAAAGCCTTTGTATTGCTTTCTTTCAGTGGCTTTTTAGTCTTACCTTTTCCATAAAGGCATGACTTTTGGAGACTGAAAATAATACTTATCCTTTCAACTCAATTTCCACCTGAGTGGTAGATTCTGCGTCTCCACTAGAATTACCATGTACCTCTTGGCTGCTTTTCTGACTAATGCTTGTCTTGCATGGCCTGTACGTTTAGCAGGTTTAGAATCACACCAAAGTCTTTCCAGTTTTTGATGACAGATTGAACAGCTCCCTGAGATCTTCAAAGCAAAGGATATTTATTACTTTATAATCCAACCCTGCTTAGAGCCGACTGTAATTTTCCCCTGACTTGTCTGGAGTGTTTCTTGGTCTTCATGGTTTTGTTTTGATGGCAAATTGTGACAGAATTATTTGTTTAAATTATTAATCATGACATGGAGTATGTTTTCTTTTTTTTCTCATACATACTGCCCTTGTCAGGAAATGTCGCCACTGAGCGCTATTTTAAACATACATTTGATCCAAGTGTTGAAATATTGAATAGAGTTCACAGGTGTGTTGCTACAGATGCTATTCTCGGGATGTGGAGAAAAAGAACAGAAATAAAACTGAAAATCAATCAAACTTTTTCCTGCAGGCTCTGGGCTGATACCAAGGAAAACCCACTAAGCTTTTGGTTGAGCCACAGATCCCTGCAGAGATTATTGCCCACCATGAAATGCTTAGGTGTTTCGCTGACTGAAGGAACCTGCTTTTCACAAAGGACATTGGTTTTTGTTTTGAAAAGTCTGTTCAGAAATATTGAAGACATTTCCAGTTGAACGTTTGATCTCAAGTAGAAAAACAATGTCGTCTGATGACGGTTGTGTATCCCTAAGAGTCTATGTGCCTCAATTAATTAGTAACTGGAAGCACTAACTCACAAGTTACTGACAAGACACAGTCATCGAATAGCAACATGCAGGTCTATGTTTTAGGTGGTGTTCCAATAAATGAACACTTTGCAGGGATATGAGAGAGGCGAAGTGATTAAATTCACGGCACACTGTACGAGCGAGATCTGTTGGAGGAGCAGAAATGACAGCTTTCATTAAAGCTTTTGTGGTGGCAGACAGGACGCGCATGAGAAAAAAGCCTCTCCATAATCCATTTTATGGCCCTGTCAATAATATGTTGAGCTAAAGAAGGGCAAACTTTGTGAATTATTTATAAATCTGTCTTTCTGGTGCAGGCTTTAACATCATTAAAGTGACAGCACAAAAGCCCTTAGCAGTGTTTGATATTGTATTGCTGAAAGAGAAGGATAATGGGGGAGCAGATGCAAGATGAATCTCGGGTTCACATACTCATATATATATATATATATATATATATATATATATATATATATATAAAAGAATAGCAAGAATGCAGAGTGAAAATATAAAGGAAGAGAGACACTTCACAAAACTCTTGGGATGTGAATCCACAGAACATCCCGTCCTCTGAGTCATCTTTAAATATCTATACGATACTTAAGTTCAGACATGTTTTTTTTTGTGTTTTTTTTTGGGGGGGGGGCGGGGGGGAATGAACATTGTGTATTTACAAATTATAGTCTACAAAGAGTATTCATATATCTGAATATTTGCACATAATTTCCCAAAAATCTTTAAAAGGTACAGATTACTTGTGACTAAAAACATAGAAATAAAAGATAAAAAGAAAAAATGACTCCATTCTAGGCAGAAACGCATATGTTGGTTTGTAAAGATCAAAATGCAGGAATAACCAAAGTATCTATAAAACTCAGAATAAAGTCAAAACATTGAAAAAGCATGAAATCTTAGTCGTTCTCTTGTCTATTGCAAATCTGGTCTAGTTTCTAGTCCAAATATTTTAGTACACTAGAAATAAGACAAAGCTACCTTACAAGTAACTTTTCAGCAAGATCCAGAAGCTTGTTTTAACTCCATAATTCCTTAATAATAATCTTAAAGAAAGACATTTTCCTCATGTTATAAATGAAACAATCTACCGGTGGAACTTGTGCTTTTTCATCCAGTAATTATTGACTTAAAACAAGCTCCTACATCTTGCTGAAAAGTGACTTGTAAGTTAGTTTGTTGTATTTCAAGTGCACTGACAGATTCACACTAGAAACTAGACCAAAACACTGTGGTAAGATTTAGTGTTTTTGTGGTGAAATGCTTTAAAAATGTCCTGATGACAACAAATTTACCCGGTGGCAGAGAGCATACCTTCTACTTATGACTGGAGCAGCATTCCTCCTCATGCAGCTGACGTTACGGCTCTGAACACCAACAGGGCAGGCGGACGTCTCATTGCGGGAGCTAGTTTCATTGGTTTTAGAAGGCGCGTCCTCAGTACAGGGCCCCCATTCTGAGGCTTCCCAGTAAAACACAGTGCAAGGATGGTCGTTGCAGACTCGCCATTCCTCTAGGGCCGGGGCTGCTGGGCATGTTTTACCATCTGGAGGTGAAACATAAGACAAGGAAACATAAAACAAAAACATTTCACAATCTAGCATTTCAAAAAGTGCAGATTGATCCGCTGTCTTCGGACGCAACCCAACAGTTCTTTCTTGATTTGGCTCAAAGCGGTTTAGCTGGCAGTCATACATCTGCTGCATCTGCCTACAACAGTTCTAAAATCTGAAATTTCCACCAACAGCTAATAAATCCTTCAACTAAACACCTACATTTCAGAGGGGTTTTGAGCAAGGATGAAATAGAGCAGAGTCAATAAAAAACCCAGCTGCCTTCGGCCATGACAGATAAATATTCAAGTTTTTAAAACCTGGTGTGTATTTCACAAAAGATGAAGAGTCTTAGCACATTGAGAAAATATTTTACACTGCAACTGCTTAGTAGCAGCCAGATGCTGCTTATCAATTGGTTAACTTATGCTCAGAGAAGATGAATCACCTTTATGCAGCGCTGATTTTGACAGTTTGAGGGTCTGGAGCTTTCAGGTGTGTGTAACACAATGGTAAGAAGGAAACACATTAAGAAATACATTGCTAAAAGAAGCAACTGGCAGCTGTGACAGTAAACAGTTTTGCAAAGTGCCCTACGAAAAATAGCCATAATTCACAGCCTTGTTTCTTTGCTAATGTTTAGCGTAAGCTATTGCTTCATTTCCGCAGCTTTTCTTCCCTTTTTCCAAAATTACCTGCAGCTATTTTCAGTCATTTTCAAGCACAATTTGTTTGACTCAACAGTTTTCATTTTGGAAAAGAGATAATGTGTTTTGGCTGTGATCTACATGTACATAAATGTACATACATATGAGTGAGTTTCCCTCTAAATGAACTGTGTGTATGTAATGTGTGTCAGATCAGAGGCAAGGTTGGTTGGGTTGAGCAATTTTTGGAGCAGAAGATTATAATAAAGAAAGATTGGACATATTGCAGTCAGTGAGTTGACACAAACGTCTCTGTAAACCCAATTACTCTGTTATGTTTTGACATATGACACATGATCAAAGTCAGTCATTTATCATGACAATGATCCCAAACACTTCTGAAAATGTCACTCGGTAATTTTCAGATAGCAGTAAAACAATAGATGTTCACTAATCTCAATAAACTGAAGCAGCTTGGTAAACAATGATGCAAAAGGGCTTCAGAAAATTGATCCAATTCAAACTCAAAGGCAACCCTGATGCTAACATGTAGCAAAGATGGCTATAAAAGCAAAATAATCAAAAAGTGATTCTAAATTCTAACTTTCACTTATTTTCTAAGGACAGCACTGAGTCTACTGTCTCCTGTTGTTAATGTGAGTTTCTCTGTTTCTGACTACAAGGACTCCTCAATCTGAATGGAATAAAATGATAAAAGCCTAACTGATGATGAGCTGAACGTGTTAATTGGAGAGTGTTGAGGACCACAGCAAAACACAAACATGACTTTTTCACCGAACTACAACCAAGGAGATCCTTACGGTTTCTGATCTACTCTGCATTCCACAGCTGTACTGAGGTTTCACACAAACTGCTCTCTTACAGCCTCCTCTGCCAGCCAACAGATATCCAGCAATTGGGTTTAAGCTGCAAGATTCTTTCATCAGCTGTTATTGCTGATATGTGTTTAGTTACAGGGATTAATGGGCAGCAGCCGCCTGCCAAGGCAACCAAGGCTGTCTGACTTGAAAACATGAAGTACACAGAGAAACACTTGCCAGAGGAACAGCTCCTGATAATGGATGATCTGCTCAAACCTCAAATGTTTTCTGAAATGAAAAATGTCTGTATAACACTCTTAAATCTGGGGGACCAGACGAAAGGGCCGCGATGCTGGTGAAACCACGCTGATAAAAGCTTCAGCTCAATCAATCTTTATCTACTAATTGCTGAGCTTAGTTTACAGTTAATTCTGAAACTCTTCTAAACATTTTTAGTTACAAAATAAAGCTTACACACTGCTCTTTTACTTATGGATACATCTTATATGTTTTTCATACATGTTGTTATACGAGTTAATTTTAATATTTAATTCATATTCAGTCTTAGTAAATGTAAATTTGCCTATTTTTAAGGAGGACCTATTACACAAAATTTAAATTTTGCACATTTTTGTGCTTCCCTTTAGGTCTTAAATGCTTCTAAAAACAGACCAAGTGCTTAATAAGTTAATGTTGGCAATAAGTTCATGTTTTCTGGCGTCTGAAAAATGACCCAATTCAAAAACCACTGAAATTTAACGTCACAAATCAGCAGACACCGCCTCTCATCAAACAACCCAACCTGAGCTTCAGTACATGTGAATGGCTGGTTCTACTACTGTATATTCTTTACAATGGCTGCTGGAAAACACAGGTGTTTTGGTTTTGACTTCCAATCCAGAAACCAATTGCAGCAGCCTTGTTGGTTGTGCAGGAGGCTCTACTTTTGCTTTTCAAAGATGTACAGTTGTATAACTGCACATCTGTTCGCAGCCGTTTTCATGTCCAAGTGTAAACGTTGAGTTGGGGGGCGTGGTTTATTTGGATTTAAAGTGACATGAGGCTATAAAACGGCTGAAAGGACTCAAAATAGGTAGAACTAAACAGACTAAAATCTTATCATCTAAGAATGAATTTGTGCATAAAAATTAATGAACATGTTTTGTATTGAACATAGATCTATTGTTAATTGCTGCTTTGTCATTCATTGAAAAAAAAAAGAAAAGAAGCAAACTGGTTGAAAAGTAAAATGTGTGGAAGAAATAGGTATTTCACACATATGCAGAAGAGTCAAAGTAATCAGAGGGATTTTCAGGTTACCTTTTCCTGGGATGGCTAATACTGTGCGACTGCGGCTCTGCTTGCCCTCTGCGGTCTTTGTGGCGCAGCTGTGTGAGCAGGAAGACCAGGAGGACCAGGAGCCCACCACACAGTCTGCAGAACAGGCAACATCACAGGCCTCCTCAGTGGGTGGAGGCTCTTCTACACAGTGGCTGTCGGGCACATCACCTCCTAAACATGGCATAGTAACACAGCTGAAATGAAAATTATGAGCTATGTGTAATAACTGGCATTCATTTTATTAAGCCAATAAAGGCAGAGAAAAGGTTGTTTTCAGTTTTTATTTTATTTGAGAGTTGACAAAACAGGTCACATGTGACACCAAACTCAACGGTAGATTATTTTATAGTAAACGAAATAAAGTGTGACAATAAATCCATTTGTGTCCAGGTGTATGTGTGCATATATATATATATATATATAAAAAAAAAAACTGAGGAACTATTAGAGTTACACAAACTCAGCTTTTATTTTTCAGTATCAGCAATATGATTGCCTTCACTAACCTAAGAAATGCTCATTCTTATACATCTGATAAAGCAGAGCAGGTAAACTAATCTTCTTTTATTTTTTCTCTTAATTTCTTTTGCAACTTTGAGTTCCAATATATCCAACAAATAGGCACCATTGATAAGAAATATATTATATATTCTGAAAATACGTTTGTACTGGCTCAATAATAACATTACTTAACCCTAATAATCTGCATAATGTGAAGTGGGTCAAATTTGGCTTATTTTCTTTTGTATGTATTTATATCCATAAAAACACTGTTATTAGGCTTCATCTTAAGAAAATATCACTTTTTACAGCTTAAATTACTATTTTCCTATAAATGTATTTTCTTTCCCATGAACCAACTTGATTCTTTGCGTGACTGTATGTGTGTGAACTAAAAACTGAACAATGGAAAACAATGGACAGGGTGTGCAGGTGTAGTCCTGGAGAGAAGGGGTCTCTGAGCTGCATCTTCAAGCCATGACCTTTACAGTGCAGTGGAGTGGATCACAGCCAAGTGGAGAAAGGCCAGGATCAGAGTCAGCTCCTCCAGGCCTGAGGCTACGCTTCTCAAACAAAGAGGCAGTCAGTCCCTGACCCAATTTAAGTGACTTTGTGTCAATAAGAATAATATATCGCTTGATGAACATGATACTGACAGTTAAACACAGTAGTGGTAGCAAAATGCTTGGGGCTGTTTTGCTGATTCAGGACTTGCAAGAGTCCTGATGGCACCAAATGTACAGCCTGCCACTGGTATTAACTCATGTTATTTCTGTCTGATGACAAAATTTGCTTGATGGCCTGAAACATGTCAGCATGACAAGAAAAGTAAAAAACTGGAGAAATCTGTAAAAGCGCCAATATGTTTTCATAATAATGTACTTAGCATGACGAGAAACAGTGCGACACCAGCTTAACTCAATTCCGAGTTAATACTTCAGCATTAATCTTTTTAGAGTTCATTGTTGGGAGTCAGGTTTGTTAACATGCTTCTTTGAAAAACAACCGTTTTCAAGATCACAAAGGACCAAATGAAATGTAATTTTCTCTGTTACAACAAATATTACATTCAATCCAGCAGTGCATGGCATTCATGATGTAAGTAAACCAAATGATTTAAAATTACATTGCACACAGGTATAATGCTACATTAGTAATAATAGATTTACAGAAACTCTAACAACTTCTTGTAGTTGACAGAGCTCCCTTCAAAGTTCCTGGTAAAACACAGAAAGAATGTAGTTGGATTGAAAAAAAAAAACAGTCTGTTGTGTTATGTTTCTTTTTTTTTTTTGGTAATATAAGATAGTTTTTTTAAGTCATCTCTCAGCTTGCAGGCATGTAGTGAAATATGTAAACCTCTCAATTAAAAAAATCAAGCAAGTAAGTCAGTAGAACTATTGACTCAAAATAAACTAAACATTTAACGTGACTATTCATCAGTATTGCAGAAAATAATATCTATTTTTTTATTTTTTATTTTTGCGATTCTCTCTATAGAATGAGAGAGAAACAGAAAAAAAGTGGGATGTCATCAACTTGTCCAAACAATGCCAGCAGCAGCCCAGGCATCGTTTTTATAGATATACACTTCCACCGCTTAGTGTCATTAACTTTGCTGAACTTGCCACTACAACAAGATATATAGTTTAACAATAACAACTCTAGGGCATATTTGTTATCAATTTGTTGTTGTTTTTTTGTCCCTATGCACTCTTAGTCTTGGAGGATACAGCTAATGCAGAAAAATACGAGCCTTGGTAACGCCTCATGAGATAAATGTAAAATACTCCCTCAGGGAGTTGGAAAACCTTTTGCCCATAGAGTTAAAGCATCTAAAGCTACATCAAAATATCTGACATGTGTGCAGCAGAAGATTGTCTAGAAATAATGGAGAAAAGCTAGGGGCCACTGCATCCAGTGATTTAGTTATAGCACACTTTAGGAATGTACTGACTTTACTCCAAACTCAGCACAGCAGGTCTACAACAATAACAATATGTGATCTTTGTTTTTTAGCATAAAATACTTATTTTAGCATGCTAATGGTGCTACAAAACACTAAACTTAGGTGGTAACACAAAGTATTTTAAATAAATGCATTTGCAAAAAAAACCCACCAAAAACTCAACATATGACAACATATTACAAGAACATATCAGCGCATTTTTTTGATGAAATAAGAATAGGAAAATAAGTTAAAATTTAAAGCAGACTATATTTACACAACAACAGCAATGTAGAGATGTAATGTGAAAGGTCAGAATTAAGTCTAAAATCTTAGAAAGCTGTGGAAGAAAAAGTTTACATTTCCTCTCATGCATACATTTCCAAAGTGCAGCTAACTAAGCAGTGATCTGGGGGCTGCAGCGCCTGAATCGAAGCTGAGTTTAACATAATTGTTTTGAGCTGACTGAGATTTTACGCTGCGTGGGAATTCATTGTCATGGTTCACCATCGCGCCAACCCAGGTAATTATTTCAGACTGGCTTGCTTTATACAAAGCGAGTGTGAAATAAAACACTGCATACACACATTTCTATAAGTTAACCTTCCCATTTTTAAAAAAAAAAAAAAAAAAAAAAAACTAGATATAAGAATGAGATGCAGCCAAAAGTTTAAATGGGAAAAACAACACAGAAAATTTTATTCTCTTAACTTTTATATACTTTATAACTTTTATATTATTTCTCCACTCAGATCCTCCAGTCAGTGCTTAACCCCGGCTTTTCCACATTATGTTAATCACTCTCACCTGATCCAGTAATCACCCCTTGTGTGCACATACAATGATTTACTCTCTCTTTCATTCAGCAATTTCCGTATTCTCCCGTTTCCTGTTGATGCAAGTCCTATTTAAAAATAAAGTGTGATTTTGTCTGCCTAGTGCTGACATGATGACCCATGTATAAGAAACTAGTTACCTGCCAGATGCCATCTGCCATCCTGTGGTCACAAATGTCACTAATACCTTGCTAGCTCTACCTGTGAAACAGTTTTACAGAGGTGAGGTAGAGTTTGCGTTGCACTCCTTCATGCTCTATCCAGCAGGAAAAAAATCAATTCCTTTGTTTCCTAATTAAAATGAGTGAAAACTGAAAGAACATAATCAAAAATGTTTGCCATTTCAAACCAAAACGTTCCAAAACCTTGGCATATCTTGACACCAGGATCTGACCCATGAATACTCTTACTGCTCTCCCAGATCTGAAAGCCTAATTCTATTTCCAGCCACTTTGCTCCAACACAAGATGGGAATTGGATTTTCATGAGTTGGAATTTAATCGACCTGAAGGCCCTCGGCTATCCAGCATGCTGTGTTGTCATCGTGTCTGGAAGGGCACAATAAGCGAGTTTACTCTTAGATAAAAGACATATGCAAGGTTACCTCACATGTTTGCACTCAATATTACACACTAAAAAAATGTTCTGACATATAAAACACTAGAGGCTAAAGTACAATTTTAAGGACTCTGTGGTAACATTTTGTTTCTAAGTATGGGATTATTTTTTCTTCTTTAATAAACTGTATAAAAACAATTGATTTATGAATTACTCTGAAAACAAAAGGGCCTAATGAGTATAATAGCAAACAAACAGCCACAAAACTGTCTGGAACCATTGCCTGAGGACAAATGACATAACAGCACGAAGCTACAACTTGTGTATGCGTGTGTGTGCATGCTTGTGTGTGTCTGAGGGTGTACTGTTGTGCAGAAAGACGGCTGCCCCTGGGGTCCTCCTGCATTATTAATACAGGGATCTGTAGTTAGAGCTCTTACTCAGAAATAATATCGCTGCCTACTGCATGCAATTTCAACATGATTTCTGCTCTGCACGCCCACCGACCAATTAATCTCTCTCATTGTTATTATTCCGCTCTAAATCCATAGAAAAAAAAAAAAAAATTGGCATTGACTTTTCTTAAAAGTTAATAATCACATATTGGGGGAGCTTTAAGGTGAACTGGACAAAATCCCAGTGGGTTGTGACAAACTGGGCTGGATGACCAATTAGTGTCTGGGGTACATCAGCTTGCCAAGCATGTTCCTTTACAATTTCACCTCCTCTGACATCCATACGTCCATGTTTCCAGTGGCTTTTCTGGGCTCCTCATTGACTACATACTGTTGACCAGTTAGGCGGAAAGAGGCAGGCAGTTGGAGAGAGACACTGTTGTTGTTATTGTTAGTTTCACAAATGTCAGAGAGTCTGCAGGCTTTGGGTTAGTCACCATCCAGTGCAGTACATGAGGTAGAAAATCAGTCATGTCAGCCATCAGTTACACATATACCGAGTATATTTGAGTCAGCAGCCTCCGCGATCGGCGGCATTGACTCTGCAAGGAGAAGGAGCTGAACGAGGTGCCAAAACAACTTCACTCAGCCTTGGGCAAATACCTGGCGGGTAAGCCATCTCAGCAGTTATTTATGCTGGTTTAGAGCCTCAATAATCAACAACAATATATCATAACAATATGTAAGCAAAAGAAAAAGGGGGGGTCTGTTAAAATCTGTTGTCCTGCTCTTGCCTAAACAATGTTTTGTTTGGTCAAGTGGTCTGGATCTGTAATTGGAACCCCTAATTTTAAAAATACAATGTAAACCTAAACTTAGTAACTCCATATTTCTATATGAAGTAATGTTTTATGGAAACTGAAAGGGATGTAA